ATTATTATTGGTACATTGTGACCCACTCTTGAGTGAGGAAGGGCAGGATAGAAGCCCCGTGAAATAAATAAATAAATAAATAAAATATTTGAAGACGTGTGCAGGCAGACAAAAACTTATGCCTTGAATAAAATTGTGTTGGCCTTGAAGGTGTCACCGGATGTGAACTTTGTTCTGCTGCTTCAGACCAATGCGGTTACCCACCTGAATCCTTATCTCTCCATGGAAGATTTTCAGGGTATAAGCTTTGAAGAACCGCCGCTCCCTTCGTCTGACACAAGCAGGAATGGAGATCTGAGTCTTTTTATGCCAGCCAGAGGCTATAAAAATGCTTCTCTTCTTGTCTCCTCTTCACAGGTACTCCTATCAACAAACCTCCCGTGTTAGGCTACAAGGATCTTAACCTCTTCAAACTTTTCAGGCTTGTGTTTCAGCAGGGCGGATGTGACAAGGTAGGCCTGGCTCTCCTGGAAGCCGACCTGTGTACTTTATGATAGTTTTAAAAAAATTTAAACGTGTTTGTAGGCTAACCTCTCGAACCGCTGTTTTCCCCAGATCGACAGCGGTGCTGTATGGAAGCAAATTTATATGGACCTTGGCATTCCTATTTTGAATTCAGCTGCTTCCTACAATGTAAAAACCGCGTATAGAAAGTAAGTGGTCTCCTTGTATTCCAGCGGCGTTTGTGCGTTTGGCGCAAGAGGCGGTGAGGGAGCGAGGGCTTCCGCATGCGTGAAATTTGGTCAGCCAGCCTGTCGTCCAGCAGGGCTCATCCAGAGACCCAAAGGGATTTAAGAAGTAGTAGTAACAAGGAGAGAGAGAGACAGGAGTCTGATTCTGCACACATTTTAAAGCAGCCTGGCTGGCGACGCCACACAGGGTTACAGATGCAGCTGTTTGTGGCACATCACCATTCTACAGGGCGGTGGGGCGCGTGCCAGTTCCTCTCCGTTTGGCAGTTTCACCGCTTGTTTGGCTTGCCACAGCCAAACATGGAGGCCTCTGCCTGCAAGCCCTTCCAGTTACCTCTGCGCACCAAGATTTGTATTCTCTTTTTATGGGGGATTCTGTCGTGCACAAGCTTCTGCCTTTTGGAGGAAGGGCCCTGCCTTGTACACAGAAGGTCCCGGGTTCAAGCCCCAGCATCACCGGAGTCGCAGAGGCCAGGAAGGACCCCTTTTCTCCGCCCAAGACCTGGGCTGCCCCCGCCAGTCAGAGTATAGACACAGAGAGTACTCCGTCTTTCTGTGTTATACCTCTGAGGATGCCAGTCACAGCTACTGGCGAAACGTCAGGTCCTGCAATGCCAAGGCCACGGCCACACAACCCGGAAAATCTACAGCAACTAATGAACTCTGGCCGCGAAAGCCTTCGACAACTTTATAATGGTTTAATATATTGTTTTGGCAATCTTTGATGGTGTTTTCTACTAGTGGAATTTGTATATATAGTTCTGACAAGAGCTGTCCTTGAAAAAGAGCAGTTTCTGCCAAGAGCTCTCTCAGCCCCACCCACCTCACAGGGTGTCTGTTGTGGGGAGGGGGAGGGAAAGGAGTTCAGTCCTCGGCATCTCTAGTTTAGAAAGGACCAGGCAGTAGGTCAATGTGGAAGACCTCCCCTGCCCGAGGCCCAGTGCTGACCCCGATGGACCCAGGGTCTGATTCAGTAGAAGGCAGCTTCGTGTGTTCCAAGGTGGAAAGATTTGGGAGGGGGCAGCAAGGTCAATAAACCTTTTAAAAACCTCTCCCGGGTATCTTTATGGTTTCTTTTTTCTCCCCCCCCCCCCCCCCCGGAAAACATTTTATTTTTGTCCCAGGTATCTTTATGGTTTCGAGGAGTACTGCCGCTCTGCCAGCATTCAGTTCAGGACGATCCACCACAATGACCCCAAAGTAATAGAAGTGGTGCAGAAGCCAGAAGAGCCCATGGAGGAGGAGACCGTGAAGGAAGAGCCCGAGATGTCCCCCGCAGAGGTTCTGAACGAAGTGGAGGAAAACGAGTGCAGCAGCGAAAGCGAGAAAGAAGAAGAAATCGAACAGATGTCCCCTCGGGTGAGCATTTGTCAGTTCCGCCCGACCCCCAGAATGGTCTGCAGCTCCTGTAATTCAGGCGGTGTGAAATCCTGGCTCCCCACCCTCTCCTGCATCCAGCGCCTGTCTTTATAGCTCTCCGTGACCCAACTTCCCTTTCCGGCCTTTTGTGTTTGTGTCCAGAAATGCCGCTTCAGCCTCTCCGACGCACCCATCATGAGCTTGTTCTCCTGTGGCTGAAACTTCCTCGCGCGACAGCCATGGAGCCCCCTTTCCCTCCAAGTCCCTGCTTAAAGCTAATATTTCCCCCCACCACGGAGCCCTTAATTTCCATGCCAAAACTGAAACAAAACTCAGCCGCGCTTTTTAGTCTTGCCTCTCCCACCGAAGGTGTTGTACTGTGTTTCTCGGGGGAAGTGTCTATGTGGGTGGGGTGTAAGTGTGTTCCTGGGATTTTGCAGCCTGCCGAGGTGGCAAGGGAACTCTGGAGCAGCTCCTTGCTTTCCTCGCTTCCTGTTCTCCCGCCTGTCAAACCTACAAGAACGTCCTCGTGCCTCCTGGTTTCTCCTGCAAAAGCCCAGCAGTCCCTTCCCCTTCTGATGTCACTGCTGGCGTCACCCGTTTGTCTCCCATCGTACTAGAGCCCAGGGTCACCCACTGAAGCCGGACGTTCAAAACAGACAAGAACTACTACTTTTGGCATAGTGGTTAAGTGCACAGACTCTGATCTGGGAGAACGGGGTTTGATTCCCCACTCCTCCACTTGCACCTGGCTGGATGACCTTGGGCAAGGCGTAGTTCTGATAAGAGCTGTCCTTGAAAAGGAACAGTTTCTGTCAAGAGCTCTCTTAGCCCCACCTACCTCACAGGGTGTCTGTTGTGGGGAGGGGAAGGGAATGGAGACTGTAAGCCGTTCTGAGACTCCGTTGGGTAGTGAAGGGCGGGGTATAAATCCAATCTCCTCTTCTTCTTCTTTTACCTCACAGGGTGTCTGTTGTGGGGAGGGGAAGGGAAAGGAGTTTGTGAGCCCCTCTGAGACTCCTTTGGGTAGTGAAGGGCAGGGTATAAATCCAATCTCTTCTTCTTTTACCTCACAGGGTGTCTGTTGTGGGGAGGGGAAGGGAAAGGAGTTCGTAAGCCGCTCTGAGACACCTTTGGGTAGGGAAGGGCAGGGTATAAGTCCAATCTCTTCTCTTCTTAGGTGCTTATGTCTATAGCTGCTTCATGTTCTGTGGGTGTGTGGGTGCGTCTGCAGTAAGGGATTTCGTGCTTTTTATTTATTTATTTATTTCTTCAATTTGTTGTACCGCCCTAACCCCCCATTGGAGGTCTCTGGGCGGTTTACAGAGGGGTGCTAGTCACATTTCTCCCTAACTAGGGCCACATTTTTTTGTACGGGGTGGGACTGCCTTGATAGGAAAAGTCCTCTTGGTGGCTTTGCCACACCGAAGAGGTGTCCCTTGCCTGTTACATGACTGCTCTGATTTATTGGGGGGTAGGGGGGTAGGGAATTCATAGTTTTTCCTGGAGTGCCGTATTGCGTAATCGTGCTGCTTAGAAACCACCGATGCATCTTAAAACAGCACGTGGCGTGTGTCCGTTTTGGTTGATTCTCTCCCACAGGGGCGAAGGAGGCTCATTCGTGACGTCGCTGCCGCGAAGAAGGAAAGCGAGGACGAGAAACTGCAGGACAAACTAAAGGACAGCAACAAGGAGAACAAAGAAGTAGAAGAAACGCCAAACAACGTAGAGAAGAGGGAAAGCGAGACAGCACTTGGGAGCAGGAGGACCCTACCAAAGCAGAAGGAAAAGGGAGCTAAGAAGGAAGAAGAGTCCGACGGGGAATCTGACGAAGAAGAGGAGAGGAGGCAAGAAAACTTTTATAACTCTAAGCAGTTTCCCCCTCAGTCTGCTGCCGCACGCTGCCAGTCATAACGGGCTTGATATAGGGTGTCCTGTGAAGCAAAGGTAAAGGTTTCCCCTTGCTCGAAAGCCAGTCGAATCCAACTCTAGGGATGCGGTGCTCATCTCCGTTTCCAAGCCGGCGAGCCAGCGCTGTCCGAAGACGTCTCCGTGGTCCTGTGGCCAGCATGACTAAACACCGAGGCACATGGAACGCTGTTGCCTTCCCACCATACCGGTACCCAGGGGTCATTTCCGGCAGGAGCGCACAGGAGCGGAGCTCCAGCAGTAAAGAGCCCAGGGGGCGGGCACATGCAGCAAGCCTCGCCCCCTGCTCCCAGCAGCCCTCAGTCAGGCCACGAGGAGCAAGAAGCAGCCAAGTAAGCTGCAGAGGCCCCCCCGGCCCCCGGTCCAAAACAGTCCAGTGGCACATTTAAGACCAAGTTTTATTCACCCCCCCCCCATAACTAGCAATCCGAAACAGTCCAGTGGAGTCTGAGTGGTGGGTGTTGCCTTCTGACACACTTCCGGTGATGTCAGGGGATGTGACATATGACAATAAGTTGTGCTAATGAGCTCCTGCACCTCTTTTTCTATGAAATGACCCCTGGCGGTACCTGTTTACTCGCTTGCAATTTCTTGCTTTCGAACGGCTAGGTTGGCAGGAGCTGGGGCCAGAGACAGGAGCTCACTCCGTCAATGCGTCCCTCGGGTCTCGAACCGCTGAACTACCGACCTTCCGGTCTGCAGTTCAGCAACCACTTGAGCCACCGCAGCCCTTATGAAAACTACCCCTAAATATGAGGCATGCGTCGTTGCTACCTAGCAGTGCCCGTATTAAGAACAGGATGGAGGCGTAAGTGAAGCTTTTACCTTTTCAGAACTGCAGTCTTTGCGACTGTGGAGAGCAATGTGGGAGCACAGTGGTGGCAACAGAAGGCCTCAAGAATCGCAGCGCTTTTAGCATTCTGCGTGCATTTTTTCCATGACATTTCCATGACTGTCATCCTGGAGGTCTGATTTGCATTTTCCAGAGCCCACAATCTTGGTTGCCTTAAAGCCCAGTTTTATCACATTGCGTTGTATCCTGCTACTCTACTCAGCCGGCAGCGTCGTCTTCTGACACTCTTGAAGGACTGTCTCCCGTTTGGTGTCGTGGTTGAGTGGACGGACTCTAATCTGGGAGAACCGGGTTTGATTCCCCACTCCTTCACTTGTACCTGGCTGGATGGCCTTGGGCAAGCCGTAGTTCTGACAAGAGCTGTTCTTGAAAAAGAGCAGTTTCTGTCCGAGCTCTCTCAGCCCCGCCTACCTCACAGGTTGTTTGTTGTGGAGAGGGGAAGGAGTTTGTAAGCCACTCTGAGACTCCTTTGGGTAGTGAAGGGCAGGGTATACATCCAATCTCTTCTCCCATCAGTGCTCCCTCTAAGCTGTGGAGTCTTGTGAGCAAAAGTTCTACTTTGTGAGCTACCGGCATTAAAGTTGTGAGCGAGCAGTTTGGCTGCCGCATAAATCCTGGAGCCGTCCGTCCTGAGCGAAGAAAAAAGTGTGAGCCGGGGGCTTAAAAACCGTGAGCTAGCTCACACTGACTCAGCTTAGAGGGAGCACCGATTCCAGCTGTACCTGAAGAAGTGAGCCGTGACTCACAAAAGCTCCTGCCCCTGCCACAAATTTTATTAATCTTTGAGGTGCTACTGAATTCTTGCTCTTTTCTACTGCTACAGGCAGACAAATACAGCTACCCATCTTGATCTATCTGAAGAAGTGAGCAGTGACTCACAGAAGCTCCTACGCTGCAACAACTGTCATTAGTCTTTAAGGGGCTGCTGGACTCTTGCTCTTTTCCACTGCTACAGACAGACTAACACGGCTACCCATCTCGATCTGACACAGGCAGCGGTTTGAGAGAACAGCTCTTCTCCCCCCCCCCCCCCCCCATACACACCACATGTAATAGTTCATCATGACTGTGATACCGATCACATTCTGAAAATGTCTCTGTCATGACTGATGAATGGACGTCTTCCGACACAAATGGCACTCATAAAAGGTTACCTCAATTAGGGACGGTGTGTAATTTGTGCAAACAGATTATGCTCTGCTCAGCTAATGGCAGTGCCTTCCTCTGGCGTCAGAAGGGCTTTCCTCCAAAAAGAGTCTTCCATTAGAGGAAGGCTCCCTGCATTTATTGATGAATAGACTTCTGTCCCACCTTTCCCCGTGGTGCAAGGCAGCTTGCAAATAATGGTTTAAAAACATTTTCAATTAAGCCACAACAAAATCGCAAACCTCAAATCTCTCCCCCCCCCTTGTTTAAAAGATGTCTGATATCCCAACCAATGTTCCCTCTAAGCTGTGGAGTCTTGTGAGCAAGAATTCTACTTTGTGAGCGAGTGGCATTAAAATTGTGAGCGAGCAATTCGGCCACTGCATAAATTAGTTTGGTTCGGATCCATCCTTCCTGAGCCTAGACAAAAATGTGTGAGCTGGAGGTTAAAAAATTGTGAGCTAGCTCACACTAACTCAGCTTAGAGGGAACACTGATCCCAACCCCCTCCAAAGCAGTGGCAAACAGACAGGCCCTGCAGCGCCTCCTAAAGACCCACAGGGAGGGTGCCTCTCACCTCTTCAGGGAGGCCGTTCCATAGAGCCGGGGCCACGATGGAAAAGGCCCCGGACTCTGGTCAGTGCCAGACAGGCCATCCCTAAATGGTGGGATAGCCAAAAGATAGCTGCCTGAAGACGGTACTCACCGTGCAGGGAGATATGGGAGGCAGTGTTCCCTCTAAGCTGAGTCAGTGTGAGCTAGCTCACAGTTTTTTAGCCTCCGGCTCACACGTTTTTGTCTGAGCTCAGGAAGGGATGGCTCCAGAGCAAACTAAATTTACGCAGTAGCCAAATCCTTTGCTCACAAGACTCCACAGCTTAGAATTGGCTAGACTGTGAGTCCCATCTGTCCTGATATCACGAGACTGGATTTCCATGACGGATTTCCATTCTGTATGGCTAAACGTGGTGCTTTCCAAGGAGATGGGTGGCCGTGTTTATCTGTAGCAGTAGAAAAGAGCGAGAGTCTCGTAGCACTTCAAAGACTAAAAAAAAACTGCGGCAGGGGAGGAGCTTTTGTGAGTCACAGCTCACTTCCAAGATGGGTAGCCATGTTGGCCTGTCTGCAGCAGTAGAAAAGAGCAAGAGTCCAGTAGCACTTTAAAGGCTTAACAACATCTGTGGCAGGGCAGGACCTTTCGTGAGTTGCAGCTCACTTCCAAGATGGGCCGCGTTAGTCTGTAACTTTTTCCCCACCATAGAGAACAATGGAGGGGATAGGGGCAACCTGTTTGAGGGCCCAGTGTTCTTGAAACTTGGTTGGTATCTTGGGGAGAGGCTCCAGCAGCTAACCTGAGAGTTTGGAGCCTCTCCCTCCAACCTCCTCCCCTCCAGCCCCCAGAATATGTTTTCGCCATTGACTTCAATGGCCCATAGGATATAATGCGGCTGAAACTGACATTCGGCTGGGAAAGACTCTTGAATTGGCTGGTACTGCCGAAATTGACGTGCAGGAGTCTTTATGCCGGCGGATTCTGCGGAATCCGAATCAGGCCGAATTTTTTTATTTTTTTTGCACACCCCTAGTGCAGAGTAATCTCCTGAGCAATGCTCCCTCTAAGCTGCGGAGTCTTGTGAGGCTAAGAAACTGTGAGCTAGCTCGCACTAACTCAGCTTAGAGGGAGCACTGCTCCCGAGGTAGCTTCCACTGACCTTTCCGCGAGTTCGTACCCCCAAACCAAGGTTTTCTGCCGATGCAGGAGATTATGTTTTTCACTAGCTTCCTCTGGCTGCAGGGCCCCCCCCCCCGCTCCCAGTGGGAAGGGGGAAATTGGTGAATTAAGAGCACTTCTATGTAGGAAGTTGCTTGTATCCTGCACTTATTGTCCCTTGTGACAAACCGCACGCTTGTGTATGTTGCCATAGGTGTGTTTAACCAGGAGATGTTCCTCTGGCGAAGCATGCATGCGTGTTTGATACACAGGAGCATTTGCCTAGCATGGAAGTGACCATGGGCGTAAGAAGTGTGTGTGTGGGGGGGGTAAAGCAGCTCTTCTAGCATTCACGCCTCGTTTCTCTATCTACCTTGTGAAACGTAGCACAGAAGGATGCTTCGATATCTGTTTTAGATTTTGGCCTTCGTTTGCGTGGTCTTCCGTTTAAGCTGACTGCTGTTCCACGGCAAATCTGGCTAAAGTTTCCACTGAGGAGGAGATGCAGATGTGGGGACGTGTTTGGTGACTGAAGGAATTCTCGTACTGGGTTAGAAGCTTTTCCTTAAGCGGCCGATAACCTTTTGGGGAAAGTACACTGCAGTAGCAAACAGAAGCGATTGGCAAGAAAGGGCTGGCCACAAGTTGCCATGGAACCGGCTCGGGAGCTTTCCATTGGCCGCTTCCAGTGTCACCGCGGGGACTGATGAGGTTTGCACGATGGATTGCCCTGAAAGCGCAGGTTGGCCAGAATTCCATTGCTGAGTCATTCTCTCTCTCTCGAAGCCCAGATTGGCAGCGCTGCCGGCAAAGAGAAACGGGGTGAGGAGAGCCCCCCCAGCCGCTCCCCACACCTGGGCTCTGATGCATCCTGTGTCTACCTTGCTCTGCAGGGAAGAACTCGAGAACCGAGGAGAATCGGAAGGAGAGGAGGGCGAGGAAGATTCAGAGCCGTGCCTGACGGGAACCAAAGTGAAAGTAAAATACGGCCGTGGGAAGACTCAGAAGATTTATGAAGCTAGCATCAAAAGCACGGAAAACGATGACGGCGAGATTTTGTATCTGGTGCATTACTACGGCTGGAATGTGAGGTAAGGAGGAGAAAGCGAACCTCTCGATTCAGCTGCCTGTTCCCACGCAGCAGCTCTGGTCTTCTTAGCACGGTTTATTATTAGTCTCTCCCCCCCCCCCAATTGTCTGAGGTACCTTCTGCCACAGCCCTGGGCTTGTGCTCTTTCATTGGTTGCCCTGTGTTCCTGGAAAAGCCTCCCAGAAGAGGTTGGGGGGGGGGGGCAGTGTTCCCGCTAGGCTGAGTCAGTGTGAGCGAGCTCACAGTTTTTTTTAGCCTCCGGCTCACACATTTTTGTCTCAGCTCAGGAAGGGATGGCTCCAGAGCAAACGAGTTTATCAGTCCAAAGCCTTTTATTGGCATATAAATAAAGATGCAGTAATCTAAATACAAAATCATGCAGAGTAAAATTAAAATTGCAGAGTAACATCAGAGAGTAACATCATCATAAAACCTAACTCATAATATCACCGATCAGGCCGTAGGACCATGGCACTGCAGGGAAACTCTGCTACTATTTCAGTTATTTCTGTATCTGGATTATCGAGCAAGAAAGGGAGCTTAAAATCATCAGGGGCCTCTAAAAATTGGCCTAATATGGGATATGGAAGATCCCGACGGGATGGCAAATAGAGAGGGCACAGGAGGAGGAGGACATGGGCAACAGGCAAACTATTTTACGCGGTCATCACATCGCTGGCTCGCCACTTTAATGCCAGTAGCTCACAAAGTAGGATTTTTGCTCACGGAACTGCATAGCTTAGTGGGAGATCTGGTCAGGTGGTTCCTGCTTTCTTGGCTTTCCACTGAGGTTGCAAAACAGAGCTGCTTCAGAGAATTTTGGGGGTCACCCGAGCCCAGACAAAGGGGGAATACCCTGCCAGTGGGGAGGGAGGTATTTCGTTCTTCGTGTCCTTTTAATTTCGGTTTTTTTATACAGTTCGTATTGCTTTTATGGTGCTGTTCCCTGTCTGCCTTTGGTCCCAGGAGAAAGGCCCCGGTGTATAAATATTGTTTAAAAAAAATAACAATGCTCCTCTGTTGTCGCATGCTCTTGGTCCTTAAAGAGGCGTGGGCGCCGTTTTACGTTGATGGTCTGGCTCCTGGGCAGTGGTCAAGAACAGGCTCTCCCAGGCCGCCGCCGCCCTGCCCTGGCTTACGCGAGGAGCTGATTCACACAGCCGTTTTCAGAGGTATTGGTCACCCTGGAGAGCTGCAACTTCCTTCCATTTGCACTTCCCAAAATGCTCTCGCGACAGAGCCAGTTTGGTGTCGTGGTTAAGTGCACGGACTCTAATCTGGGAGAACCAGGTTTGATTCCCCACTTCTCCACTTGCACCTGCGGGATGACCTTGGGCAAGCCATGGTTCTGATAAGAGCTGTCCTTGAAAAAGAGCCATTTCTATCAGAGCTCTCTCAGCCCCACCTACCTCACAAGGTGTCTGTTGTGGGGAGGGGAAGGGAAAGGAGTTTGTAAGCCGCTCTGAGACACCTTTGGGTAGTGAATGGCGGGGGACAAATCCAATCTCCTCCTTCTCTTTCAAACAGCCCAAGCGGCCTTTCCTCCACATCTTTGTCCTGTTGAGGACAGCCAGTCAGCAGTTTACAGACGGAATCAGGCCTGTGAAATTATTTGCTACTCCAGAGGCCTTTTGTGTGTCCTAAGTGCCGTCGGTTCACTTCTGACTTCTGGCCACCCTGTTAATTAATGGCCTCCAGAATGTCCTGTCGTTGACCGCCTCACTCAGGTCTTACGAACGGAGGGCCCTCCACTTTTATTGAGTCAATCCATCTCATGTTAGGTCTTCCTCTTTTCCTTCAGTCTTCAACTTTCCCTAGCATTATTGTCTTTTCTAATTACTCTTGCCTTCTCATAACGAACCGTAGCCCCAGTTTAGTAATTTTAGCTTCTAGGGAGAGTTCAGGCTTGACTTAACGTAGAACCCGCTAGTTTGTCTTCTTGGCGGTCAGCCGTGTAGCCAGAAAATTTCCAGGGCTTGTGTGCGCCCCCCCCCCAATGTGCTGGTGTCCTACATCAGTTCCGACATGCCTGCGTAACCCAGAAGTGACGTAGACACGTTGAGGGGCAAGAAGGGAAAGGAGGCCGAGTCTCTTTCCCGGTGGCTTGGTGAAACAGCTGCCGGTCTGGCCCTGACCTGGATAGCCCAGGCAAGCCCAGTCTCGTCAGCTCTCGGAATCTAAGCAGGGTCGACTCTGGCAAGTACCTGGATGGGAGACCTCCTTGGAATACCAGCAGTCGGGAGGCGGGGGCAGGCTTTGTTCAGCCACCTCTCTGAATATCCTCCAGGCCCCCAGGATATTCACCTGAGGTCACCATGACTTCCAGGTGCACAGACATAAGAACATAAGAGACGCCAATGTTGGATCAGGCCAAAGGCCCATCCAGTCCAACACTCTGTGTCACACAGTGGCCAGAAATACCAGGTGCCATCAGGAGGTCCAGCAGTGGGGCCAGGACATTAGAAGCCCTCCCACTGTTGCCCCCCCAAGCACCAAGAAGACAGAGCATCACTTGCCCCAAGGAAGTCCAGGGTTGCTATGCAGAGGCAGGCAATGGCAAACCCGCCTCTGTTCGTCTCTTGCCTCGAAAGCCCTACGAGGTGGCCATAAGTTGGCTGCAACTTGAATGCGCTTTCCACCACCACCCACTATTATTATTGTTGTTGTTAATTTATTAATCGCCCTATCCCAGGTTACGCCGGGTTTCTGGCGATGTACAGAAGGTAAAATGCCATAAAAGCAAAATACAAATTTTAAAATATCCATATACAGTTAATAAGAGATACCAGTCCAACACTCTGTGTCACACAGTGGCCAGAAATACCAGTGCCATCAGGAGGTCCACCAGTGGGGCCAGGACATTAGAAGCCCTCCCACTGTTGACCCCCCCCCCAAGCACCAAGAAGACAGAGCATCACTTGCCCCAGAGCCCCTAGCTATACCTTGTGGCTAATAGCCACTGATGGACCTCTGCTCCATATGCTTATCTAATTCCCTTTTGAAGCCGTCCATGCTTGTAGCTGCCACCACTTCCTGTGGCAGTGAATTCCAAGTGTTAATCACTCTTTGGGTGAAGAAGTACTTCCTTTTATCCGTTCTAACCCGACCGCTCAGCAATTTCATGGAGTGCCCACGGGTTCTTGTATTGTGAGAAAGGGAGAAAAGTACCTCTTTCTCTACCTGCTCTTTCCCATGCATAATCTTATAAACCTCGATCATGTCACCCCTTAGTCGTCTTTTCTCCAAGCTAAAGAGCCCTAAGCGCCTTAACCTTTCCTCATAGGGAAAGTGTTCCAACCCTTTTATCATTCGAGTTGCCCTTTTCTGCACTTTTTCCAAAGCTATAATATCCTTTTTAAGGTGTGGTGCCCAGAACTGCACACAGTATTCCAAATGAGGTCGTACCATTGATTTATATAGGGGCATTATGATATTGGCTGATCTGTTTTCAATACTCTTCCTAATAATCCCCAGCATAGCATTGGCCTTCTTTATTGCAGTCACACACTGTCTCGACATTTTCAGTGAGTTATCTACTACAACTCCAAGATCTCTCTCTTGATCAGTCTCTTCCAGTTCAGACCCCATCAACGTGTATTTATATTTAGGATTTTTGGCTCCAATGTGCATCACCTTGCACTTGGCCCCATTGAACCCCATTTGCCATGTTGACGCCCACTCGCCCATCTTTGACAGATCCCTTTGTAGTGCCTCACAATCCTCACTGGTTTTCACCACCCTGAACAACTTCGTATCATCCGCAAATTTAGCCACTTCACTGCTTACTCCCAACTCCAAATCATTAATGAACAAGTTAAAAAGCAGTGGACCAAGTACTGATCCCTGCAGTACCCCACTGCTTACCCCCCTCCACTGAGAGAACTGCCCATTTATACTCACTTAAACATTATATAGTGTGTGTGTGTGTGTGTGTGTGTATATATATATAATGTTGTGTGTGTGTGGGTGGAGAGGGAAAGGGTGCCAGCCAATACAAGCAACCGTTGCTGCCCTCAACCAAAATTGACTTTTAAATTAACTTTTTAAATCAACAAATTAACTTTTAAGCTAAAGCCCCTGTTGACGGGTTGAATGATACGTGTGTTTCCTGTAGGTATGACGAGTGGGTGAAAGCCGATAGGATCATTTGGCCTGTGGAGAAGGGAGGACCAAAGAAGAAGCAGAAGAAAAAAGCAAAGGTAAATAGCACTGTTAGTCTTCTTTTTGCTGTACCTAAAGGAGTTCTTTTTCTCCACTCTTCCCTCCCAGTTTGCTCTCTTTCTCAGTGAAGTGTTTGTGTGGAGGGTTGAAATAGTCAGAAACTGTGAAAAGGAATTTAAAAAAAAAAAACAACAACAACAACCCTTCCTCTGTGTTTGTTCAGAGTAAAGAAGATGCAGAAAAAGACGAAAAGAAAGAAGAGGAGAAGCAAAGAGCGAAACGTGGGCGCCCTCCTCTGAAATCCACCCTGCTTTCCAATCTGTCCTGCGGTCTGCCCAAGACCCCAAACAGCGAAAGTAGACCAGGGTCCCGAAGCGCACGCAGCGGCTTGCCAGATTGCTGCCCCCTGCCTAATGGGACAGAAGGTACTTCCGCCCACGGCACATGTGGTGCACCTCGTGCGCTTGCGCAAGGGCCAACGATGCGCGTTAGGGCAGAGGACCCTTGCTGTCCGTAGCCCAGGTGCAAACGGCGGTGGATAGAATAAACGTCGCCCTTGCGCTCTCATTTGGAGTCACTGAAATTACTTCTTTGTTTCCTTCTAGGAATGTCCCGCAGGCAAACAAGACGCAGCTCAGGAATGTTGGATTCCGACAGAGGGTCCAATGGTGAGTAGTTAGTTTGTGTCTCCCTCCTCCACCCAATAAATCTAAAATTTGGGACGATCTTGAAAAAGAGATTGGGGGAGATGGAACACCCACGTATACACACAGAGCTGCCTTATACGGAATCAGACCGCTGGTCTCTCAAAGTCATTAACTTTTCCCTGCTCGGCGGCAGCTTTCAAGGGTCTTAGGCAGAGGTCGTTCGCATCACCTATTGCCTGGTCCTTTGTTAACTGGAGATGCCAGGGATTGAACTTGGGACCCCTCCGCACGCCAAGCAGAGGCTCTACCACTGCGCCATGGGGGAGGGGGTGGCAAGCTGGAATTTGGAGAGAGAGAACTAGAGAAAGGTAGCAGTGGAGGTGGGGTGGGAGTTAAGGGCTGAGTGTTGCCTTTTTTCTTTCTTTTTTTGACACGGCAGTTATAAAAAGTGGTGGTAGCCCATGCCTTTTTGTGTTCAGGTCAGCAGTCATTTCAGTGGGCAAGCCCTCCCCCATGTTCCAAATATCACTGCTTCCTTTGTCCAAACATGGTAAAATAGTAGAAGAAGAGAGCAGTCATTTCAGTGGGCAAGCCCTCCCCCATGTTCCAAATATCACTGCTTCCTTTGTCCAAACATGGTAAAATAGTAGAAGAAGAGAGCCAGTTTGGTGTAGTGGTTAGGAGCCTGGACTCTAATCTGGGAGAACCGGGTTTGATTCCCCACTCCTCCACACGCAGCTGCTGGGTGACCTTACAAGATCTCTCAGAGCTGTTCTCTCAAGGGCAGTCCTCGGGAGAGCTCTCTCAGCCCCACCTACCTCACAGGGTGTCTGTCGTGTGGAGGGGAAGCGAAAGGAGATTGTAAGCTGCTCTGAGACTTCAAGTGAAGGGCGGGGTATAAATCCAATCTCTTCTTCTGTAATTGTGCCATTTGCTCGCAGTTACAAGCATAGATCCTTCCCAAGACTGCGTCTCATGACAGTCTTTGTACTCCGGTGCAGATAGCAGAGGACGAGCCACATGCCTGTTGCATGAGGTGCAAAGCATGGGTGTCTGTCTGAATCCAAGCTTTCCCCTTCAGAGTGCTCGTAAGGAGGGGACACACATACTTTAGCACCCACTAACGGGGACAGAGAAGCTGCAGTTCACCTTCAGTCTTCTGCACAGTCCCACGTGGTCGTTTTCCCCCTACAAAGAACAACAGGGAGATTGAGGAAAAGAAAAAGTTTAGCCTCATTGCCAGGGTGCCAGCCTGTTTGGAGCTCTTCCTTCTTCTGAAGAGGCTCGGTGGGAGGTTGGGTTCCTGTCCAGTGAACATGGCTCAGAGAAGCCTGTTTGAAAAAAAATGCATTTGATGCAGTGCAAAAATGACCCAAACAGACAATCATGACCTCTGTCTCCTTTGTTTGGCCGAAGGCCATAAACGTGGCTGTGCGCGAGGCTTGCCAACAGTTCACTCGAAGGCTAGGAGTGACCACGTCTCAAAGTTAAAGGCTGCGCTCTGGGAGAAGGCTCTTCTGTCTTCCGATGCTCCCGCGAAACCGGCCTCAAGCGCCAAGCACCCCTCGAAGCTTTCTTCCATGGCTTCAGTGAAGTCGGTTCCATCCGTACAAAGATCCAAGCCCTGGCGGTGCAGGTCTCGTTCTCCATCCCCCCATCAGTTCTGAGGCGCACTTCGGAACTGCCCGGGAAGAAAGCAAAACTCAAGACACGAAGCATAAGGAGAGAGATAGGTTGGATTGAAAGCGGCACCGAGTGCGTTCGGTTCCAGCAATACCTGTTGGTGCATATTTGGTACATTGGTATCTGTATAAAACATCTCACAAGAATCAGCTTTGTCAGCTGTCAGAGAGGGTGTAAAATTAGCACGTCCTCCTTAATTAAATTGTGTGCCACTCTGTGGTGGAATGACTACATAACCTCATTTTCAGTTGATCAGTGTTACTCCCTTTTGTTTGGGCATTAAAGGGAAAACACGCTCGGTAATATTGAGCAACTGGTTTTCTACATTAAAAGTGAGCACGCGGAGAACGTGCTGTTCTGTCGCTCATTTTTGTGTGGATGTATTTGAACAGTATTCCTGTAGATGCCAAAAGACGTTTTAATTCATTTCTTGTTTCTGTGGCGTGTGGCTTTTTTTTGCTTGCAGACTCCGTCTCGTCCGACAGCGATGCAGACGAAGCTTCCGAAAAGACTACAAATGAAGACTTTTCTCCAACAAGTTCCGAACTCGAGAAAGACGAAAAAAGAACAGTTGACAGATCTGATGAAGAAACCCCAAAGATCTCGCACGTTTTGAAGGAAAGCGACAGGAATCAAGTCCACCCTTTAGAAGCTTTGAAGCTAGAAGTTGAAGAGAGCGAACAGGTAGTTCAGATTTTTGCGAACAAAAGTGACCAAATGGAAGAAATGAAGAAAGATTTGGACAGATCGCCCAAAGGGAAAGGGCGAAGGAGCAGAGCAAGAGACTCCACTCTTGAGAATGTAAAGATGGCGCCACTAAATCAGGATGAGGCCCCAAGCGAACAAGTCACAGAGTCTGAAAGACTAGATACATCTTCTTTGGACAGTAAAAGTTTAAGCGCCACTTCTGTGACTGAAACAGACCTTTTCACAAAAGAAAAGAAGCTTTTCAAAAGAAAAGCGGGAGACCAGTCGTCGCCTGACAAAAGGGGGCGCCTGGAGGGCGAGATGGATGTGCCAAATATTGCGTCTGAGGGGAGGGCGAATAAGTGTTCAGGGACAGAAGAATGTAAAGATTTCAGTGCCGACGACTGCCTCAGAAACGAAAACGAGGAGATGCCATCCTTGGTGGCAGAGTCAGATCAGCGTCTCCAAGCTCGGGGAGGTGACCGTTTTGAATGTTCTTCTGAGGGAAACTGCCGCACCCCGCTGAAAGACGAGGAGGACTCGATGCCTCAGATTGGGCCCGAGACGCTCCTTTGCCACGAAGTGGACTTGGACGACGTCGACGAAAAGGAGAAGGGCGGCTCCGACAACCTGGTGGTGGAAAAACAAGACCCCAGCAATCCCGCTTCGAACCCACCCGCCTTACCCCCCGCCGTTCAGCCAAACTTCTCCGTGGCCTCTCCCCTAGCCCTCAGTCAGGACGAATCGCAGAGCGTGAAGAGCGAGAGCGACGTCACCATCGAGGTGGACAGCGTGGCCGAAGAGTCCCAAGAAGGGCTCTGCGAAAGCGAGTCGGCCAACGGGTTTGAAGCCTGCACCACGTCGAGCAACGGCAGCATCGCAGCCCCAGAGAGGGAGATTGGAGAGAAGGGTAAGGGCCTCTCAAATCCATTTCGATGTTCCATGGAATGGGTGGGGGGGTCTCTTATCACAGCATCAATTTTATTTATTTATTTATATTTATATATTCAATTGGTACCCCGCGAGCGGGCTCAGGACGGCTTACACAGTTGGTACAGCAATATCAATAAAACACAGAAAATCAACTCAAAACAGTTCAAATGAATCGTATAAAATCACAAAGTGCTAGTGATCCCTCAGTAGTTAACTTAAGGTGGCGTGCGAAAAAGGTTTGCAAGCAGACCGTATGTTTGAGCGTGTCACGTGCTCATTGGGTCACGCGCTCATTCAAGCAGCGAAAAGCCGCACACTTATTGAATTCGGTTTGTATCCCGCCCTCCCCGCCGAGGCAGGCTCAGGGCGGCTCCCATGAAAGAGTTAAAATACATTGAAACGCAAGACAACATCATACAAGCTTATAAACATAAACAAATCACGAATACAGATAAAGTGCTGGTAAAGTGCCGATGACGATAGGCTCCCACTAGACCATGATCAAATGATAACAAGTACGGCCACAGTCCGTGTCCAGTGTATCACTGGCTGTTCATCCGCGGCATTCATCAGGAGATGAATCAAGGAGGGCAGCCGTGCTGGTCTGAAGCCGCAGAACAAAATCCGAGTCCCGTGGCACCATTAAGACCAACAGAGTTTTATTCAAGGTCTGAGCTTCGATGTGCACGCCTTCGTCTGACGAAGCGTGCCACGCACATGAAAGCTCACACCTTGAGTAAAACTCTGTTGGTCTTAAAGGTGCCGCTGGACTCTGACCTTCTTCCAGGGCTATTTTTGGGCAGGAACGGCGTTCAGGCTGGCTTCAGAGCTGGCCACGCCCACTACAGCCAAAACCTCTGCATGCGTGGCTACAGAGGGAAGGCCTGGAGAGTGACCCCCTGACGACTCCGAAGTGGGCGGGCCACGGGGCCCCCTGGAAGGATCGGGGAGGCATTTAAATGCCTCCCCATGCCTTCCCCAGCCTGTCCAAGGGCCAGCTTGCCCGGGCAAGCCAAGGGAAGCCACGGGGGTGTGGCCTAGCATGCTAATGAGATGCACTGTCAGGGGTGTGGCATAATATGATAATGAGTTTCTGCTGTTTGGTGTGGCCTATTATGCTAATGAGTTCCTGCTGGGCTTTTTTTACAAAAGAAGCCCTGCTTTCTTCTATCAGAAGTTGAAGACAGTTTTAGGAGAGGATAGCCATGTTGGTGTGCAGTGGAAGAACTAGATTCAACGCCAGTGGCTCCTTAGAATCCCAACAAGATCTGAGGGGTTTAAGCTTTCATGGATCAAAGCACCTTTTGTCCGAAGGGAGTTTTGACTCTCGAAAACTCAGTGATGATGGAAAGTGCCATGCAGCCAACTTAACGTCAACCCCACAGGGCTTTCAAGGCAAGAGACACGTACATAGGGGGTTTGCCATTGCCTGCCTCTGTACGGTGACCTCAGACTTCCTTGGTAGTCTCCCATTCAAAGACTAACCTTGCTTAGTCTGTTGTGGCTTTTTCAAGGAAATGACTTGGGAGGTTTATACGTTCATTGATTCATTTTCAGTCCGGCTTTCATTTTTGCATCTGACGGCCGTCTCGTTCTTCGTGTTTCACACAGTCCTGCCACAGGGGATGGGGAGCATCTATGGCATGCTCTTGCTGGGATTATCGAGGACGTGGCCACAGCTTGTTCATGGCTGATACTGGCATTAAAAATCCATAGTTAAGGTGCGGAGTGTAATGGACAAGGACTATTTACAGCACGCAAGACTTGGTGTAATATCTTGTAATCACCTGGTTGGGGGGGTTCAGGGCATGTCGGGAAGACTCGGGTCCGTAACGGACGAGGGGATTTGCTCTGCTTTCTTCTGATTCTAAATTTTTGTACCAAAGCAAGTTTCGAGTCCCAGTACATTTGACAGACTGGCAAGATTTACAGGGTTTCTAGGCTTTTGAGATTCAAATCTCCATGTGTCAGATCTTCTCTGGAAATCGTGTCGGTCTTTATTTTGTATTTATTTTTCACATTTCTGTCCCGCCCATCCTGTAAACGGGCTCAGGGCGGGTTACGACATTTACATAAATACAATAACGTTTTAAAACCCATTATAAGCACCTATAAGGACCTAATTGGTCTCAAATCTTGTTCTTCTGCTGCAGACCAGCACTGCCACTCTCCTGAAACTATTTATTTTCGTACAGTGCACATTTATAACACTGGCTTTCCTTTGGCTAAAGGTTGCACAGTTTGAAAGGAAATTCTGCTTTACACAGAGTGATTAAAATGTGGAATTCGCTGCCAGAGAAATGTAGTGACAGTCACAGGAATGAACGGCTTTAAAAGGGGATTGGATAGATTCATGGAGGACAAGTCTGTAAATGGCTACTAGTCATGGTGACTGTGGGGAATGTCCACATACAGAGGCACTAGTCCTCTGAATCCCAGAGCCAGGAGGCAACACCAAGGGAAGGCCTCGGCCTCTCTGCCCTGTTGTCGGCCCTCCAGAGGAACTGGTTGGCTGCTGCGTGAGACAGGACGCTGGAGTCGATGGACCACTGGTCTGATCCAGCAGGGCTCTTCTTAGCTAACTCCATTGTCTGAGGTCACCTCCTCTCCTGCTTATGTCTGGTCTGGAGGCTCTTTGAAGTAGTCTTCCATTCCCCTGCCTACCAAGAGTTGAGGGTAGAACTCCACTTCCCTATATTTCCTACCACTCCCCTGCCTGTCATTGCGAAGTAGGATGTCCTTCCACCTGCTTCATCGGAGCATGGCTGTCTTAAATTATGCCCTCTTCAGGTCAAGGCGGGAACTAAGTTGTGGCAAAGGTATAAGCGTCTTGCATTTTTATCCTCAGGTCAGAAGAGGCCCTGTGACAGCAGCAACTCCTCCCTGGCCAAGAAACAAAAGCGTACCCCAAAGCGAGCCAGCACTGTAGCCAAAAACGAGAAGAACGGGACAGGTATGTCTTCAGAAGGGATTCTGCTCCTCCGTCTCCGTTGTGCCACCCCTCTCGTTTGTTCGTGTCTGCTGTGCTTATACAGAGACAGGTTTCCGTTCCGATGACGTTGAGCCAGGGTTGACAGATTTCTCAGGAGGTACTTTGTGGAACAGCGTAAATAGGGTTGCAAGCTCTGGGTTGGCTTCAAAAGGGAATTGGATAAGCCTATGGAGCAGAGGTCCATCAGTGGCTATGAGCCGCAAGGTATAGATAGGGGCTCTGGGGCAAGGGATGCTCTGTCTTCTTGGTGCTTGGGGGGGGTCAACAGTGGGAGGGCTTCTAATGTCCTGGCCCCACTGGTGGACCTCCTGATGGCACCTGGTATTTCTGGCCACTGTGTGACACAGAGTGTTGGGCTGGATGGGCCTTTGGCCTGATCCAACATTGGCATCTTTTATGTTCTTATGGGTTGGGAAATCCGTAGAGATTTGGGGGTGGAGCTCCACACTATTAAATTTTGGTTACGACTCCCATTTCAACTCTGACCCCTTCAGTTACATGTACCAACTCCTTTCTGAATCTGTTAATTCCAGATGGCTATCTTACATCGAAGCCAAAATAAGTTCCCTGAATTTGTCTCTAGAATCCTTATGTATGCTTTCTGAGTCTGAGGCCTTCTTAAAGATAAAATCTAGTTTATTGGGATCAGAGCCAATGCTCCCTCTAAGCTGTGGAGTCCTGTGAGCAAGAATTCTACTTTGTGAGCTGTTGGCATTAAAGTTGTGACCGAGCGATTTGGCTACTGCATAAATTAGTCGGCTCTGGAGCCCATCCTTTTCTGAGCCGAGACAAAAATGTGTGAGCCGGAGGCTAAAACACAGTGAGCTAGCTCACACTAACTCAGCTTAAAGGGAACACTGATCAGAGTTCTTTATCGCCTGGCTAACAGAACCTGTTCTCCCTTAAATCTGGGGATTGTTCCTAATGCAAATCTTCCAGCAGAATACCTCCATCAACTCATAGCTCCAAATTTGTGTAGAGCCATATCCTTGGCGAGATTTAATGTTCTTCCTTCAGCTATCTTATCTGGCAGATTCCAAGGGATTCCCTATCCTACCAGGTGCTGTCCTTCCATGAAGGATTGTGTTGAAACTGTTGCCCATGTCCTCCTCCTGTGCCCTCTCTATTTGGCGTCCCGTCGGGATCTTCTATATCCCATATTTGGCCAATTTTTAGAGACCCCTGATGATTTTAAGATCCTTTTCTTGCTCGATAATCCAGATACAGAAATAACTGAAATAGTAGCAGAGTTTCTCTGCAATGCCATGGTCCTACGGCCTGATCAGTGATATTATGAATTAGGTTTTATTATGATGTTACTCTCTGATGTTACTTTACAATTTTAATTTTACTCTGCATGATTTTGTATTTAGATTACTGTATCTTTATTTATATGCCAATAAAAGGCTTTGGATTGGGATTGGGAATTGGGGGTGGAGCCTAGAGTGAGTAGTGGGAGGGGCCTCAGCAGGGTATCATGCCGGAGTCTACCCACCAAAGCTGACATTTTGTCCAGGGGAACCAATCTCTGCCATCTGGAGATCAGTCGTAATTTCAGGAGATCTCCAGGCTCCACCCTCCACCCCTCCACCCCTCCACCCCTGGAGGTTGGCAACGCCCAGTGTAAATCATCTCTTCTCACCAGGAATAAAAAGAAGGTCTTAGCTTCTCTCTGCTCCCACGCAGACACATGGACCACACGGTGCACTGTCTTTGGTATCAATGCTGGACAGGATAGGTGAATACATAGAGCTGTCAAAGAACTACACTTTGTGTTCTGCTGGAAGTAGAATCACAGGGCTATCCTATATAGCCCTCTTCCAGGTATCCTCTTCTGGGTGTGTGCAGATTTTAAGTGTGTTGATTGCTCTTTGCTTCCAAAGCAGTGTACAAATCTTGAGGAATTACGCAGCAATAAATTGGTAGTAGTGAAATATAAAAAGGTAAAGGTTCCCTTGCTCGAAAGCCAGTCGAATCCGACTCTAGGGTTGCGGTGCTCATCTCCGTTTCAAAGCCGAAGAGCCAGCGCTGTCCGAAGACGTTTCCGTGGTCATGTGGCCAGCATGACTAAACACCAAGGCGCACGGAACGCTGTTACCTTCCCACCGAAGTGGTCCCTATTTATCTACTTGCAATTTCTTGCTTTCGAACTGCTAGGTTGGCAGGAGCTGGAACTAGAGACAGGAGCTCACCCTGTCTTGCGGCACCCGGGTCTTGAACCACTGAACTACTGACCTTCCACAGCCTGCAGTTCAGCGTCTTAACCACTTGAGCCACCGCAGCCAATAAAAAATAAAAAAGAATGGGATGACAGAAGGTTTTTATACCCCGCTTTTTTCTACCTCAAGGAGTCTCAAAGCAGCTAACAATCACCGTTCCCTTCCTCTCCTCCCAGCAGGCACTTTGAGAGGCAGGTGGGGCTGAGAGAGTGCTGAGAGAACCGTGACTGGCCCGAGGTCACTCGGCAGGGCTTCATGTGGAAGAGTGGAGAATCGGACCTGGTTTCTCCCGATTAGAGTCTGCCACTCTTAACCACTTACACCACGCAGCCAAAAACACTTCACTCTTGCATCTAAATTCCACCAAGGCAGTAGCCTTGCGGGGCCTGCCTGGTGCCACCACCAAAAATGCTGTACTGTTAGCTCTTTATATTCACATCAGGGACCCAGGGGAAAAAAAGCAAGGTCTTTTCCAGCAGATCTCAGAAGTGCAAATCTAAGTAAACTAATGGGGCGGCTACTGGTTTGGCTAAGCTCTAAGCCTGCCCTCCCCCAAATCTAGGGCAGGCCTCCACAGGTTTTCTTCAGCTTTAGGAGCCATCCCAAAAAATTTACGAGCCAGACTTATTTTTCAGTCTTCAGGGTTGCATATCTTCTTCTTGTTGTTGTTGTTTGACCCTGCTTTGCTTCTGACATCTGATGGGATTGGCCAGTTTGTCATTTTTTTTAAAGCTATAACAAAAGTGTTGTAGTGTGTAAAGTGTACGGGGTAACCCTGGTTGTCATCACAACAAAAGGCTAACTTTTGTCCCTCACCTAAGTAAGCGTGGTCCTTCTACTGAGAATCACCAAGAGGCACTGACAGGAAGTGACTGATGAAAATACTAAGAGCCACAGTGAAATTTCTAGATTCCCCAGTATGCAGGATTTATTTAGTTACTGGCCCAACTGACCTGGCTGTTGTAAGAAATCCTGAGAATGTATGCGAAGTGATTTGGACTATTACAGATCATTTGTTAGCTTCTTTTGTTTGCAGCCTCATACATTATTATTTTTTTCCAGTTTGAAAGTACTGGGTGAGTTGAACCAGATTAATTCAGCTGTACAATACGGTGTTGTTACAGGACAAAGCAGCGATAGCGAAGATCTTCCTGCCCTGGATACCTCAAGCAAATGTACTCCTGTAAAACACATTGGCCTGTCGAAGCCACAGAAGCTCACTCGGTCGCCTGCAAGGATGATATCCCCGAACATCAAAGATGGCGAGAAGGACAAGCAGAGAGAGAAAAACCATCAAAATGTTTCCCCCAGGGTGTACAAGTGGAGCTTCCAACTCAGTAAGCTTGTTTATCAGTATATTGAATGCTCAGCATGGCCAAATCTGGAGCCATGATCAGGTTAGACAGATGCTTCTACAAATCTAAGAAAAGCCCCAGGTTTTCAGAAAAATCTGAAATCTTAAATATATATATATACTAGTAGCAAATCCCGTTGTGAAAGGAATACAACGAACGCTAGCAAGATCTCACAGCACACCGAGGGCGAGAGGCTGGGCGCCACTTCCATGTGCTCGCCGCCCAGCTGGCTGCCTGCACCCTGGCGCAAGGGCGTAGACGTTCCAATTTCCTGGGGGGGGGGGTCTGGCCTGGGTTCTCTGGGACCGCCCTCTCTCCCTCCTGCAGCAGCCGAAGAAAGCCGGGTCACCGTCCATCTTCGCCGCTGGCCATCCCACAGGGCGGGGGGCGCTGCCGCAGCCCGAGGTGGGTCCGTGTGCAGCTCAGCTGGGAGGCTGGCTGCAATGGGCGGATGAAGTGAGCCCAGGCTGGGCTGAAACCCGATCCACGAAGGGTGGCTCAGCTGGCTGGAAGGCGCTCCCACACGGCCCTTCCTGCACTCAGCTGCACCACGCCCACTCCTCTCTCCTTCGCCTCGGTGCATCCCCCACCAGCACCTCTCTCTTGCCCCCCCACCCCGGGCTGGCCGATTGTGAGTGGCACTGTGCCTCCCACTCCTGGCTCTTGTGAGCCACGCCGCGCACACACCCACCCCGTGCACGCATTCATTCGGGTTACGTGGCACTCTCTGTGCCTGGGGAAGCGGCAATGGGTGAAAGTCGACCCTCCTGGATCGGTCTGCCTCATTTCCAGCAGCCTCGACATTCAGACTTGTCTCCCTGTGACAGTGAAGGGTCTCCATGGCCAGACAGCCGTCTCCCTTCCTCCCTGGCTGCTTTCCCTCAATTCGCCTTAATTGGCGAATGCTGCTGGCTTTCCATTGCTATGGGAGCTGTTTGTGGCCGGGAATTGAGAGGATCGATCCCGTTCGCTGACTCCCTCCAGACTGAGCCCAAGATGCTGACCACCGGCTTTGTGGGCGGGACTGAGGCAGCACAGCAAGGCAATGCAGCCAGGGGATTTGCACACCTTCTGAGTGACAGATCAGGGACCCAATTGATTTGAGAGCGTGTGGAATGTTCAGGAAAGAGTCACCCCAAAACAGCATTATAGATAATAAGGAGAGCTATATTGGAGAGTTAAAACCTCCTAAGCCAAGCAGTACCTGTGGTTTTAAGAAATAAATGCCTTAGGTGGCTGTAGGTGGGCAACTACAACAATATTGTTAGCCTGCAACCCTTGATTTTTATCAGTAAAAGGCAGGGGGGTAGGCAGCATGGCTTTTCCCAAGGCCACACCCACCAGTAATCACCCAAGCCCAGCTGCTTGCTACTGCTCAACAGCAGTCACCCCACAAAAGCCAGTGTGGTGTAGTGGTTAGAACGCTAGACTAGGATCTGCGAGACCCAGACTTGAATCACCACTTTGCCATGAAAGCTCACTGGGTGACTTTTGGGCCAGTTAAACATTCTCAGCATAACCTACCTCACAGGGCTGTTGTGAGGTTAAAATAGAGGCGAATGATGCCAGCTGCTTTGGGTTCTCATTGTGGAGAAAAGCAGGTATAACTGAAAAACAATAAATATAGCTGAAAACGGGGGCAGATATGAAAGGTAGGCTGGCGGGTGGGTGGGAAGGAGAGAAGCAGGGAAAAGCTGCTTTTTGGGAAAGAGGGAAGTAGTGTGGGGAAGGGAATACTGGGGGAAATGTGGTGCAGCTGCATTGCTGGATTTATGATGCATCGTATAAAACATTTTGCTTGTTGTGAACAGTGTAGCAATAAAGTACAGCATTTGGTTGCCTACCTTGGCTACAGTGGAGGAGATGATGGAATTTTGCAAATTGGTACATAATGGAACCTCTGAACACTCTTAGGCATCTGATACGTACACTTAGGCAAAGTAATTTTATTTATTTATTTGCTCTTCTAAGATGAATTGGACAACATGAACAGCACAGAGAGGATCTCCTTTTTACAGGAGAAACTGCAGGAAATCAGGAAATACTACATGTCTCTGAAGTCTGAAGTCGCCACCATAGACAGGAGAAGAAAACGGTTGAAAAAGAAAGACCGAGAAGGTAGGTTCGGACTTGAGGTACCTTGCAAAAAAAAAAAAAGTTTTAGAATCCCAAAATTTAATGCTGTATTAGATCAGTATTTTCCATGCCCCCTTCTTGCCGATTTTTGTGTGGGGTGGGGGGGATGCAGTCCCCAATCCATGTTAGCAAAATGACATATCTCCTGAGTCACGTTGGAAGTCCTGGCCTTTTATTGACGTCACTCCAAACCAGCTTCATTTAGTAGAGCAACATATTAATTAATTAAAATGTTTACGCCGTGCCCTTTCACAGGAATCGGAGTGAAGATTACAAAAGTAGGTGTCAATCATACCTCATAAACATTTTTTAAAACCACAATAAATGTCAAGACAGCATATGGCTGCTTCCTTTTTATTAAAATGGCAGATCTTGTGTCCTTACATCCATGTATTTATTTACTGGACCACATTATCTCTAAGGTCTCGTCTCCCTTTCTCCCTTCCGCCTATCCCACCATTGGAAAAATGGGTTGGGTCATTAAGAAAATAAATCCTTATTTTATTTATTTATTCGATTTATACCCGAAGCAGGCTCAGGGTGGCTTATCCAGGTGGAGGAAGGATTAAGAACATAAGAGGTCTGCTGGGTCAGACCCATGGTCCATCCAGTCCAGCATCCCGTCTCACACAGGGGCCAACCAGTTCCTCTGGAGGGCCAACAACAGGGCATAGAGGCCGAGGTCTTCATTAGAACATCAGACCAGTGGTCCCTCTAGTCCAGCATCCTATCTCACAGAGTAGTCAACCCATTTCTTTGGAGGGCCAACAACAGGATGTAGAGGTTGAGGCCTTCATTAGAACCGAAGAAGAGCCCTGCTGGGTCAGACCAGTGGTCCATCTAGTCCCGCATCCTTTCTCACAGAGTAGTCAACCCATTTCTCTGGAGGGCCAACAACAGGGTGTCGAGGTTGAGGCCTTTATTAGAACCGAAGAAGAGCCCTGCTGGATCGGACCAGTGGTCCATCTGGTTCAGTGTTCTGCCTCAATGAGTGGCCAGCAACAGGGCAAAGAAGACGAGGCCTTCCCCTGATGTTGCCTCCTGGCACTGGGATTCAGAGGTTTTTCTGCCTCTGCGTGTGGCGCCTCCCTGTAGTTTCCGTGGCTAGTAGCCTCTGAGAGACCTCTCCTCCATGAATTCGTCTAATCCCCTTTTAAAGCCATCTGTGCCTGTGGCCATCACTGTTCTAGGATTTTGAGGGACAAGGCCACAGCATGTCTAGAGTTGGTCTGCATATACTCTGAGGTCGAAATGCAGACTCTGGTGCAAAAGGGGCAGAGAAGACTGGGGACAAGAACAACACTGTGCACCTTTGAGGTGGCGTTCTGAGCAATTTAAGGGGCCGCAGGGCTGAAAACCCCTAGCATGAGAGTGCTCCCAGCGTGAGAGGCATCGGGTGCGAGTTTGCCGTTTGGACAAAACTTGTGTCATAGCGGGACGGCTCCTACCCTGTCCCTCCCTCTTTCCTGAACAGAGTTTGGTGGGTCTTCCTCCAAGGGAGGTTCGTGGAGCTGCTTTGGCGATTTCAGCATGGAAGGCCGGTGGTCATCTAATCAGTTTATTTACAAAATTCGCAGCCCACCTTTCTGCCCTCACGTGGACCACCAAAGCAGCTAACCATTTAAAAAATACATGGTAACATCACATTTTAAAACAGTAAAGTCAACCCCCCCCCCAATGCTATATCATTAAAACAAATTGAGAAGAGAGTTAAAGTACATACATTGGGTAGGAGGGGGGATTACTGTGGGAATGTCCAACGGGGGAAAAAGTCTTTGCCCACTGGCGGGAGGCAGCAATAGAAGGAGACGGGCAAATCTCCCGGGGGAGAGAGTTCCAGAACTTTGGAGCTCTCCCAGGTTACCGCCCACTTAATCTCAGAAGGCGGAGGCAGGACCTCCACAAATGACTGTAGTGGTCAGGCAGGTTCATAAGAGGGGTGGGTGGTCTTTCAGGTATGTTGGTCCCAGGCCCGTGCCTTTGGTTGAGGCAACAGGCGGCCATATATGGCTTCCCTGAGGTTGCTGTCACCCGTCCATTTACTGACCCCCGACAACTGGCCTTTAACTCACTGCACCATCGGGCCAGAACTTTATAGCCAACTGACACTGTTTCAAGCTGTACCCATTGTTTTAATTGTTGTAATATTTTATCGTGTTTTTAAACTGAAATTGTATTTATTATAATGATGTTACCCGCCCTGAGCCCGCCTACGGGATGGGCGGGATATAAATGCAAAGAATAAAATAAAATAATAAAATTATGGTGTTGAAGGTCAAGACCAGCACCTTGAGTTGTCCCTGGAAACAATTAAGTGATGATCGAAGGCTCCGTTATCTGTTTAGGAGTTGGCACCAAGCTGGGGGGGGGGCGTGGATTGGGGGGATGGAAATGGCAGAACAGTGTGGCGCCATCTCGAGGGTGCCTAAGTCTTCTCCTGTATCCGCAGTGTCTCACGCAGGAGCTTCCATGTCCTCGGCTTCCTCAGACACTGGAATGAGCCCATCGTCGTCCTCTCCGCCCCAGAATGTGCTTGCAGTTGAATGCAGGTGATACCGGACTCCTCTGCCTTGTACAGCGAGTGGCTGTCACGGACAAAAATCCCGAAAATACCATAGAAAAGCACTCAGCTGGTTTGACATTGCCAAGTATATTCTGTGTACTCTTCCACTGCTGGACTGTGTTGGTCTCTCCTCTTCGCGCCCCCTCCTCCTTCCTTCCTTCCTTCCTTCCTTCTTCTTTTTTTGGTCACTGTGGATATATATATTTTTTTAATTTTTAATCTTGTATTGTGGAGATTAATTAAGCTAAATTGGCAACAGGAGGTTCATAGGTGCACTTGGACACCTCAGTCTTTGTGCTTGTTTTGTTTTGTTTTGGCTGTTGAAACAACAAAAAGGGCACTTAATCAAATCGGGGGAAATGGATGTCCAATGAAGCATTTGGGTGTTAACAAGGAAATTACTCTTTTAAAAAGAAGAAAAAAAAAAACAAGTGCACCATATAGGCATCAAAATAGGTTCTGTCAGAAAAAATGGATTTACTGTTGCACTTTTTTTCACCGATCTGTATCTTAAATTCATGGGGGAGACTCGCCCCCCCCCCCTCCTCTGTTTTTTGGGGTTAGGATTTTCGTTGGGGTGGGGGGGGGGGGAGCACGTGCTATACAGGCCTGCCAAAGTGTGTATTTAGCCACGTGCCCGGTGTTTTTTTGTTTTTGTTTTTTTAAAAAAAGATGTAAATTGGACAAAATAAATTGTGAAAGGAAGCGTAGTTGACTGGAAACTACCGTTGTAACGAGTCTTCCACTTTTTTATAGGATTTTCTGAGCACACGATTATGCAAATATTTTAATGTTTAATGTTTACAGTGGAATTGTGAATAGGTTTTCAGTGGACTATCTTATCCCTTGACAAAAGTATTTTGTCTTTTTTTCTATGTAATTTCAGAGTTTTTATTTTGTTACAAAAAGGCAAAAAAATAAAATATATAACAATGAAGTTATTTAATGAGATTTCTAAAAGCTGAATTTTTGTGTGTGTAAAATAAGGTATCTTGCGACCTGTTAAATATATTTATTCAGACATTGGATGTTGTATTTTTATGTATTTTTTAAAAAAAATATTAAGAAAATTGGGGAGAAAGTCTAGGTTAGGTTCACTCTTTCAATAAAATATACCTGTCACTTATTAAATAAAACCAACCCTGTACAGGTGGCTGTATGTATTAGCCATACCTGTATGTTCAAGTGGTTTCGTCTGTTCCACCTTCCACAGTGTAAAACTGTTATCTGGCATCTGGATTAAACTATAACCTGTCTTGAAAACTTTGGCACTCCTAGTACTTCTGTTGGTTTGAGGAACAACTTCCTGCTCACACCCCTCCGGGTTGCCCTTTACAACGCTTTTGTCACCATTTTCATTTGCTGTACTTCTGAAGCGAATTTTATATCTGCCAAAGTCGAGATGCATCATCGGTTTAGAGTTTAAAAGACTGATTTGGCTGTGGATTTGTCCCACAGACTGAAAACAGTATGTAAATAACTTTCCTGAAACCATGTATTTAAGACAGTTTGCATATACATTGTGTATAAAAAGTGATTTTTTTAATCGATTTTTTTTAAACCCTTCATCTTTGTACATCGAGAAGGGGTTTCGTCTCTTCCCATGTTAATATGATGTAGAGTTATAACATAGATTCTCTAGACTGTGTCAAGATATTAAAAGGTTCACTGAATCTGAAGGCCTGAATGAGAAACTGATGAAGTGGGGAGTCATTTAGCTAAAAACTCAGAAATGTTTCTTGCAGTTTCATTTTACCACATTGTCAACGTGTGATTCCAATTCCTTCCATTTTTCGCAGAGAACTAAAGGAAAAAGTCCTCTTGTAAAAAAAAATGCACTTTTTTCTGTCTTTTCTTAAGCAGAGCTATTTCAATGTATGATACAAATTGAAGCTCCGTGGAGAGCATTAATAAAGGTTATGTTTTTAAACATAGGCTTTATTCTATTTTTTTAAGCAATTTTGTCAATCCGCCACCCATGACCAAACAACAGAAAGATCTGGCTTCATCATGTGTTGTAAAAACTCTCCAGAGTTTATTCATAACCAAAGAAATTGTCATTTATTGTCAAGAAATTTGGGTCACATGTTTGCATACCTGAAATTCCCATAGGTCATTACTTGATGCTAAACTCCCCCATCTCTCCTGCCTCACAGGGTTGTTGTAAGGCTACATTAGGCCAGTCTGTCTCCACCTAAGGCCACACACTGGATGTTCAGTTGAAGGAAGACTTGAACCCAAGTCGTCTTAGTCTCAAGGCTCAAAGAACAGCTTAAATGCTCTTAAATTGCAAATTACTGTTTCAAAATGCTAGAGATCTCTATGAACACACGAAGCTGCCTTATACTGAATCAGACCGTTGGTCTATCAAGGTCAGTGTTGTCCACTCAGCAGGGGTCGTTTCATAGAAAAAGAGCTAGGGGAACTCATTAGCATAACTCATTAGCATATGCCACACCCCCTGACATCACCGGAAGTGTGTCATAAGGCCACACACCGCGCCCCCAATGGTCCCGGGCCGGCGGGAGTGCAAGGAAGCCCCGCGAAGGCCCTCCCTGGCCCCAGGCAGGCAGGGGTGGGGAGAAGCAGGGAGGAAGCAACTTACCCTCCCTCCTGCCGCCTCCTGGCTGAATGAGGGCCGGAAGCAGGGGGCGGGGCTTTGTCATGTGCCCCGCCCCCCGTACCTCACCCAGGGGAACTGCGATCCCCCCCGAAATGATCTCTGCCGCTCACACTGGCCGCAGCTCTCCAGGGACTCAGACAGAGGTCTTTCATATCAGCTAGGTTACATTGGATAGTAATTTCTCTGTCACAGCCCAATTCAAAGGCAATGAAAATGAGCACTCTCTCGAGGATTTATTTTGCTCATATTGCTGTCCTGATAGAAATTTTTACGAAGTCACTGCAGACCAACGTTCCCAGTTTCGTATGCAAGAGAGAACCAGATAGTAAGGATGCAAGTTCCTTAAAAGTGCCTGCTTTATGGGAATCTGGAATGGACAAGCTATTTTTGCAAAAAAAAAAACCTCTTAAATATTTTCCATTTTGGTTCAGTCTGGGATAGGTGTCCCCGGCCAGTTGAGGGATGAATGGTTCCACAGATAACATCTTCATTGCTTTCAAGGGTTACAGATGTGTTGACGCTTGAGTAAAAACAGAAGGAACTGGATTTCTAGCTTGGACTTCAGGAACTTTGGCTGCCCTTCCGCGCTGGAGGATCCCGAGGGACCAGACGATGCACCATAATTCCCAAATCCCTGGATAAAACTTAGAGCCAAGGGAAACATTTGTGGCCGGTCCTCTAGCATTCACACAGCGGCAGAGGTTAACACCAGCACCTTGTAGCTGGGGGCCATACATCTTCAGTGGACAAAGCTCTGTGCAATCTTCAGAAGTCATTCCCCGAATCCTCCTTGACTCACAAGCGGCTGCCTATGTTGACTGGCTTCTGAAGAATCTGGAAAATATGTGTAAGTCAGAACTGCGGTGTCTATGTGGAGGTGAATCCAACATAAGTTGCGGGGTTGGGTCTCGGAACTGGCCCTACCTACGTAGGGCTGCCAACCTCCTGGTGGTGCCTGGAGATCTCCCAGAATTAGAAGTGATCCTCAGACCAGTGCTCACCTCTAACCTGAGGGGTCTTGTGAGCAAAAAATCCTACTTGGTGAGCTCCCGGCATTAAAGTTGTGAGCCAGCGATTTGGCTGCTGCATCAATTAGTTTGCTCTGGAGCCGTCCTCCCTGAGCCAAGGCAAAAATCTGTGTGCCGGGGGCTAAAAAACTGTGAGCTGGCTCACGCTAATTGAGCTTAGAGGGAACGCTGCTTCAGACTACAGATATCAGTTCCCCTAGTCGAAATGGCAGCTCCAGAGGGGTAGACTCTATGGCATCCTGTTCCTGC